AAAAAAAAAAAACAGGCCATGATTTTGAAGTAGAACAGGGAGAGGGATATGGGAGAAAGCTCTAGAGTGAGGAAAGGGAAAGGAGATACACAATCAAAATATACTCTCAAAAGTGCTAGTAATGCTGTAGAGAGAATAGAAACTTTGTGGATCATTGGTAACAATAAAAAAAAATGTTGCATCTCAAAAAATTAAAAAAATTAATTTTTTGAGATTTATTTTTATTTTATGTGCACAAATGTTTTGTCTTAGTGTGTATCATGCACATGTGTGCCTGGTGCCTAGACAACTGTGAGTCACCATGTAATAATGGACACCAAACTAGTCATTCTGCAAGAGCAATGAGTACTGTCAACTGTTGAGGCATGTCTTCAGCCCCATTAAAGAAGCTAAATTTTAAATTTCATTTTCTTGGGGGTTGGTGATTTAGCTCAGTTAGCAGAGTGTTTCCCTAGCATACAAAAAGGCCTGGCTTCTAGAGCACAAAAAATGGGTCACAGACTACCAGACAACAAAGAATGTATCCACAGAATTAAGACCGGCATTAACCAAGGCAGGTCCCCTGTTAAGTAATGGCTCTAGGATTTAACATATGATATGAAGTCCACTCATCATTGTCTTAAACAATGGATGAAGGCCACTTAAAGGGAATCAGACATAACAGCTTTCAAAGAAAAGTTACCTGTTTAAAATAGCTGCACTTAAAATACAACACACAAGAAATTCCTTAGATAACTGTGATCATCTCGACCATGACCAACTCTTCTGCCTCCTTCCTCATCCATCTGCAGAAAGCAAACTTACTAAATTAGGACTGTTACTTGGAGTAAAAACCTTTAAAAGTAGTTATAGCTGTGTAAGTCCAAATCTGTACCTCATGGCTTCCCCAAAAGGCAAATCATCATCATCACTCATTTCATTTCACTGACTAAAGTAAAAAAAAAAAAATGCTGGTTATAGGTATTCTCAATCTCTCTTCTAAATCCTTCTGTCTCTCTTCCTTCCTCCTTTTCCAGTGAAAAAAATCAATCCCTCCCCCCATCTGTACACTTATTTGGCTTTCCTGTTCCTTACTCTTTCTTTACCTACAGGTAAAATCTTTTTCACTTTTTTTTATGTCAATACTGCCTCCCAAAAGAGAAAAAAGAAAAACATCATCCTTGTCATGACTGCTGCTCAAAAAGTTAACACAAGCCAGGAGGGACAGTATGCAACTATAATCCAAGCATTTGGGAGGCAGGAAAAGATCAGCAAGTTTGATGGCAACCAGAGCAACCTGAGCCTCACATATGGAGATCTGGGGACAGAACATATTTGTAGCATCTTCTTGTCAACTACCACTACACTTACACATATCTTCCTATTTAGCTGTATTATATGTTTTTAACCTTTGTAGTTAGTTTCTATCTTCCTAGCATTTCTAACAAATAACATAGCTCTGAAACTTTAAATTTTATCAGTTATGCCCAAGTAATTCCTTTATCATCAGCAAAGCATTTATAATCTAAAGACACAAACTGTGGGAACACTGTTCGAGAAAACACAGGTACATTTAAAACATACAGTTAGGTTCAAGGCCAGACTGGGATCATTGCAAGTTCCAAGCCAGGCTCAGCTACATAGTGAGACCTTCCATGTCAAAAAATAAACAACAGAACATAATTCACTGTTGGACAAGACAGGCCCTAGCAGAGAGGGCTATAAGCAAAGCAACACAGCCCACCAACCACCAGTGTGTACTCACACCTAGCTGGCCCAGGTGAAGCAGCCAAGCAGTTGTCAGGCTGCATGGGTCCCCCACTAGCCAGGTCTCACTTTCCCCTGCTCAGGGAAAGAATGCCCGTTTCATGCAACCTAAGTCATGCACATCCCATTCCTCTTCTTCAGTCACAGAGCATAAGCAACAGGCTTATGCTCTCCCCTCTCTCTAGACGTCTTAAGAAGTACAGCATTGCTCACCATGGTGCCTAAGGCCTCTGCTGCACAGCTGGACTGATCATGGCCCTCCACAAAAAAATCTGACATTTGTTACATACTTATGTATTGTTCATATTAAAAAAAAAAAAAAAACCCTCATATTTAGACCAAGATACTGGCTTTCCTTCCACTTAATCCTTTGCTGTTAACTAATTCACTTCTCATGTAATTTTAGTTTTTCTTAAAAAGCATTTGGTTGCAAAGCACTTGACATACTGCTGGACAGTACAATCAGAAAACACTATCACAACTGCTTAAAATCTATGATATTCTTCACTTCTAGGAATTTTCCCAGAAGAAAGGGTAAGTGCAAAAAAACTATTCATATCACCCTTATTTATAACGGGGGGGGGGGGAATAGAACCAATGTAAAGGACCAATGACAGGTGACCAAAAACTTTGGTTTTGACTACCATGTAGTCAAAAATTCTGTAGAAATTTACCAGCAAAGAAAGTGTATTAAGGTTAGGATTTAAAGCAAGAAGCAGATGAGTGCAATTTTCACTTAACAGATACAGTAATAGTTGAGGCAATGAAGACCTAAGAGGGAGGATGAAAATCACTTGAGAAGCTAAAGTATCCAGAAACAGGATACAAAGAAAAGCTAATGCAGAAGTTATGCCATTACAGATTTGCTACTACATCTGGAGATCTGTCAGATGAGTGGAGCTACAGTCAGCAATCAGGAGAAGGAACTGGACACAGAGAAAGAGAGGAAGGTCAGGCTGGAGCCTATAAGTAAGAGATCCTTCGGTATCTCTTACTGCATCTAACTAGAAAAACCTTCAGATGGTAGACAGCTTTGCTTACAGAAATCCCTCTCTTTGCTAATACTAACCCAGTGTGTTTGGCAACTGTATATGGGAGAGGACTATGCAGCACATAGTCTCTGCTTGAGTAAACATTAACAGTAAAAACCACCACGGTATAATCTGCCAATATGATACATATGCATGTCTTTCTTTTAGACATACAGAACTCATGAGCAAAGACAACACCAAAAGCCTGCTTCAGTCTACCATGCCACA